TCGCAGTAAGTCTCACTTGTACGCGGTAAAGCGACAAGCAATGGGACATGGGTGCGATACGGCTCTCGCCAACAGTCTTCCCCAAAACAAAGAGCATCATGCCAGAAAAGCCGCGCTTGCAAAACGAAACCCGTTATGTATCAGAGGATGATAGGGGCAAGACCATTAACTCTCACTATACATAATCTCTCGAAGAGTCTCCAACGAATCAGGTGCTCGGTACTGCAGTACGCCATTCAGGCTCCAACCAACAAGTCTACACCTAACCCGAGTTCTGAGTTCATTCTTTTATGAACTTCTTTTCATACCATCAGTGTTTTTGGTCTGACGAGGGTCTACGAGGGTTTACACTACCCACTACCACCGATCAAGCCTTTCCATTTCTCTGTTATGTTCTGATCACCCCAAGGCACCCACACGATCAGTTGATGACCACCCTGAAGTCTCTCTAGTTGGTTCTTGAAATCCCTTCGGAGCCAGTCGTCAGCAGAAGAAAACACCTTGTCTCTTACCCTCTGTATACTCACATCTCCCTTTATTACCTCACTTTCGTGGAGCTCTGGATAAAAATCGGTGCACTGGAATTCGCGTCAACCTTGGAGTTCAACCGTGCCTCGCGTAAACCATACCTCTGTCGCCACCCAACCTCTTTTACTTCCTCTCTCGTTCGCCCGTGACCCTCGGCTGAGTGTCCACTGCAACCGCCTCTACACCCGCAATGGAGGGTAGTTAGACACATAGCAGTGACTGCAAACTCTCGGGTCACACACACACCCTTGTTGTCACCAACTGCTGATTCTCTTGTCACCCACCCTTGTTGTCGCCAACTGCTGATTCTCTTGTCACGCACCCTTGTTGTCACCAACTGCTGATTCTCTTGTCACGCACCCTTGTTGTCGTCAACTGTGGACTCTCTCTTTTGAAGGGCCCATGCGTGAAAACTCTCTCCCTCTCTCTCGCGTCAGTCCTCTAGATGATCGCCACGTGTAGATAGCGCATAGTGGTCGCCGCTTCATGCTCTGTCCCGCTTTCCACGAGCCCCTTTTTGTTTCGCACTCCCCGGTCAAATGCCATAAACTCGCGCGACACGCGCGTCGTTGCTCCCCGCTCGACGTCAACCACCTCGCTATCTCTCACGCGAGCCGACCTTCTTCTCGCCTCCATGGGTTGCCACGAGTAGACTGTGTACCGCTCGCGTCCCAATCACTCACTCCCCTCGTGCACTTGCACCGAACAAGAGAGAAAGCGCTCCTAAAACAGTTCGCTCTGGCAACAAGCGCAAGAAGATGATACGGTGACTGATTACTCGCCGAGCGACAAGAAAAAGGAAACAAAAGAAAACTCCTGAGGCAGGTCACTTCTAGCATAGCACTCAAACTTGCCGCGGCTCAACAGACACTGGACGACTTGAGCGAGAGGAGGCAGTGGTTGACGTCAGCCATATCCACTAAAAACGTGCGCTGGTCACCCGCGCTGCTTCACCTCTCGTTGACCTCTGGCACTGCCCCCTCACACACGTCCTTTTCCCTTGTTCTGTCTCTCTCCTGTCCCGCGGCCCCTCGGCATCGTCTGTCGCGAGCTGGCCTCAGGTCCCTTTTCCACCGGCTCCGCGGCTCGGTGGTGCCTCTGGATCTCGCCTGGCCTGATCCAGGACCTGAGGTCTGTCTCTCGGTCTGCCTCACTCATTTCGCTCTCCCCACCTGAGTCTCTCTTGTTGTGCTGTTCCTCCCTTGTCTCGGTCCCAGTTGACGACTCGGTCTCGTGATAGATGACCGTCACCCTCAAGCCCACGGTCACCCCGTCTCGTCTGCACCTCCGCTCCGCCCTGTCGCGCGCTTCGGAAATGGCAGTCTGTAGCCTTTGATCACCTCGCATCTCCTCCTCTCTCCCCCCTTCTATGCATACCTTCAGTCGGACTACCTCTCCCCCATCATAGTTCAGGGCTGTCGTAATCTGAGGGCCTTCACCCGACACTGGAACCCAGCGCACCGTGTGCCGCCAACAGCCAGGCCTATAGCCGTGTAGTGCCATTGCCACTCAGGATAGCCAGCCCCGCTTGATAGACAACACAACACTAGACCGTCGACTTCCTATAGCAAACTACTCCCCACCGGAACTCGCAGTACAGGCTGTATACCACTAGGTGATTGGCCGCAGACGATATCTCAACTCCCTCTCCCTTTTATAGGTCTGTCCCCTGCGTTCTGAACGAAGGACTTACCCGATTTCAAGAATTTTACAGTCTTTAAAATGAGTAATAAAAAAAAAAAACGAATGATTTTCAGAGAATAACGCACTTGCCTAAACTTAATCGGTCGATCACGGACTAGCCTTGCTCTTGACAGTCCCAGATCCTAACGATATGGCAACGGGTTCGGCACTGTGGTCCCATAACGGGAGATCGACAATCGCTTTTCCCCTTTTTTAGTACAGCCTCGGTCTATCCCTGTTGGGTGCCCGTGTCCGATGGCAAGGAGGGGGCTTATGACCCTCCATGAAGGGGGTGATAGGCCTCCTACCGATGCGGTCGCGGGTCGCCCTCCTTTTGAGGTCCTGCCGCGCGATGCCAGATCGAAGCCCACCCACAGACTGTATACGTGGGGTCGGCCTACTTAGGCCACAGATAGATGGTTCAAAATTCGAACCGTTGGCTTCCCGCGAAAGGACAGGTCAACAGGTAGAAAATCAAATACAGGACAGTTAAGCAATAATAATAATAATAATAATGATAGTCGTAAAACAAAAATGGAAGAAAGGGAAAACGTAAAGTCACAGTGGCTCAAAGCCACTGGATTTCCCCCGAACTAAAACAAATTCATACTCGACGTTTTTATTATTTTTCTTTTCTTTCTTTCTTTTCTTTTCTCTTCTGACAGTGACTTCCGCCTAGTGCATCTAACCCATAACCTGGTTAGAGGGCATTTGGCGCGCAGTAGAAAAGGCTGAGCCGGTCTTTTCACCTCCGCGTCCCAGGGCGAACCCGGCGGCTACCACGGTCACAGGCCGGTTGTGCTCTGCTGTACAGCAGGGCGCCGAGCCTACGTGGACCAATGGAAGTCCTGTGGCGCACCCCTTTTGTCCGGGGTACAACCACCAAGACGGAGGTGGCGTGCCGGTGTATATTTCCATCACAAAAAAAACGAAAAAAAGAAAAAAGTGTGACGGTGTATATTTCCATGTCCTAGCAGGAGACCGACATTCGTTCGATTTTGCTCATCCTATCGACGGAAGTACCCTCTCTCTCTCTCCCACACACACACATAAACACACACACACACACACACACACACACACACACACACACACACACAC